AAAAAAAAAAAAAAAAAAGATTAACCTTACGTGTTAATCTCAACATTGCACTGGCGTTCCCTGCTGCAGCTTCTCCTCCCCCAAAACATACTCGAACAAGTCGTTTTCTCCAATCTTATCCCCTCCACATTTTCCCGCTCTTCTGACACCACGGGCCTCGAACCATCCAAACACGCCTCTCCAGGCCCAACATCAAAGTTTGGGCAGGGCCCGTTTTTGCACGTGCAGAGAGGGATCATCGTCACGGATGGAAACGGGCTGCACGTGACGGGGCAAAAGATGTCAGACGAGATAGAATCCGAATCGGCCCTTCTCCCTTTTCTTGAGTCGGGCGAGCTGGTCGACTCAGACGGGTCGTGCTCTCTGTTGTGGAGCATGCATGGCGTGCACAAGCCGAGGGGCGATATTGGTAATTTGGTCTGCTTTTCGGTGGGGCCCACCGCCAGTCGGGTAAAAGACAGGATTCCCTGCCGGCAGAGGGGGCAAGGGATTGTGCCGGGCGGTATGTTTGATTCGAGAGGGATGTTGCTGGTCGAGCAGAGGTAGAGAGCACATTTCACACATAGTTTGTGCGTGCAACCTGAAAAAAAGTTGTACGTCACGATTGAGTGTGAAAATATTTCGAATCGAATATGTGGTGTATTGAGTTTTTTGTTTACACGATAATAATAAAATTGGATCTCAAATAATGTATTATTCTATGTGCCTTTAAATATTTTTTTATTTGTCGGGGTTTTTTTAGCTTTTATACAGGCAAGGTGAATGTCGAATAATGTGGTGTATTAAGGCCTGTTTTAATTTTGTAATGATGTTAATAGAGTCGGAAAGCATGTTTAAAAGGAAGTAGAATTTGAAATGGATATTGAACAATGTGTGTCATTCTATGTGCCTTCACATAATTCTTATTCGTCATGTTTTTCATTTTTTAAAACTTTTATTATACAGGAAACGTGAATGTCGGATTGAGATGGTCGACAGATGAATTACTTGATGTATGATATGTGGATAAATTGTAAACGAACAATAAAAAAAAAAAAGTATTGAACTTTTGAAAAAGTAGCAAAAATATGGATGGACATAATAACAATCAATACAATGCAGAAGATTATCGATATTATGGCTAAATTATATACTGTGTTATGCCATTTTTGCCTCAATCCAATGGTCGATCAGGATTCAGGCCATTTAAGGATCTAACATGAACGATCAAATTTAATAAAACAAGTTAAGAAACGAAATAAGTGTATTTTCACAAAACGTACTAAAAGATACGTAAGCATCGGATAATAGACAGACTCACCTTCGGAAGCAACTGTACATGCTCTCTCCAAGCAAACAGCACAAATATCAGCATCATCAGAAGCACTATCCGAGAACTGTAACCCACAGTCTCTGCGAAAAAGAATGAAAAAAAAAATAAAAAAATACTTAAATACATAAAAAGAAAAACAGTAAACCCCACAGTTGCATTGTTCATTCAAATTCAACTAAGCTTGTATTATTTAGCATGTTAAGTTTGCATATGCTTATTCAATATAAGTAACAGCAGTTATTTGCAAAATACTTCGCATATGGTTCAGCTACTGCAAAAAATAAAAATAAAATAAAATTATTGCATGTTACCTTGCAATAATTAGAATGCTCATTAGCGGCAATGATAAATAATTAGAAGGTGGGAATATAGGTGTCGGCAAATCGGAATTAGGGTCCAAAAGGGGCTCAAGCCAATGACGGCCCCACGTTCTTGCAACATCGAGCGGAAGCCATCTGGAAAAGCCTCCAAATTTAGTTAAGAAACTATTTGCCAAGGACAAATAAGAATAAAATTTAGAGTATGTTGACAGAAAATTACCCGTTGCAGTTTAATGACAAACGACTAGCACCTCTTGCAAGAAGGATCTGCAGAGAGGCATAAGAGATAAAATTAAATATATATTCAATAACTAATAATACAAGAAAAGAAAAATAATAATAAATAATTGATAAATTACCTGGCAGCATTTTAAATTTCCTCCGCAAGCTGCGTAATGCAATGGAGTGCTTCCAGCCCCTATAATAGTAAGAATCCTTTTAGACGGCCTAATCCCAAACAGAAACACTTACAAAGAGATATTATCTGCATTTAGAAAGATAATTTTTTACCTATCAAATCCATTGAGGTACCGTAATCGAACGTGACAGCCGATACATTTGCATGAAGGTCAAGTAGAAGCTGCACACATTCAAAGTATCCGTTCAAAGCAGCCATATGAAGAGCAGTAATACCGCCATCAGCAGGCTTGTTTACGAATTTGGAGAGAGCACTGCACGTGAAAGTGTAAGATGATGCACAATAATGATAACAACAATTTTACAAATTCAGTCCATTTCCAAGTAAAGAGTAAAGACACCATATACAAAATGGAGACTAAGGGTGACTATCAAATTCCTCAAAATGAAATCGGTGGTGTGATTTTTATTCCATTGATAACTTGGTTTTTCTCGAAAGTCGAAACATACTCTTTTACACAACAAAGCTTATCTGTAACGAGTCAGCAACTTCAGGGATTTTTTATTTTTTATTTTTTCTTAAATTTCATTGAAACTGCTTCAAATTATACAATTCAATCAATCCCTTATTGGCAATCTATGTTTAAAATCAAGGAAATAAGCAAACCATGATAAGTCCTCGAGCTTCACTTTTTCCATGGCATCTCAAGACGTTAACAAGCAACTACAACGTAAAACATATTAGAAACACAAACACACACACACACACACACAAACAAAAAAACCTCTCTTCATGCTTGATACGATTGTTGGAACCATCACTTGTTTCAACTACTATTTGAAGATTAAGAGATTCATATGGGGCACTAGGCACAAAATCCGCAACCACTAATCTGATACATCTCACATGACCATTTACGGCAGCAAAATGAAGAGCAGTCCTCCCACTGAGATAATCTGCTGTAATAACCTGAAATGCACCCCAACAGGATCATCTAACAGACTGAATCACAATCTGAAATGAATTTTGATTTGACCGCAAAGACTCACATTGCATCTGAAAAGAAGAAGAGTCTGAACCACTTCCCAGTGACCATATCGACACGCTTGCATCAATGCTGTCTGAAGAAGCAATTATACAATAAATACTTCAAGACTCAGATTTAACAAGATCACTTATTAGAAACAAGAAAAGAACAAGTAAAATGTTTCAAGC